CCACCCAACCGATTTTGAATTTAAAGACAGTTGGAAAAGTACCTCAAACATGTTGAAAACACTTTAAACAAAACAAACATAAAACCATAGTCACCTTCTAATAATTTAATATTTATCAGTAGTTGCCATAGTAATTTATAACATGGAAAACTATCAAACTTAATATGGTCAGTACCATAGGCATACTGAAAAATGAACCACAAATAGATGAGGATACAAATACCTTTCACAGGTTTTGTCACAAAAAGACCTCCTTAAAAGATGTTAATACACTTAAGCACTACACTTGCCCACCATAGTTTGTAAGCTTTTGTTTCTAATTTAGTACCTGTAAACTAGTGCTAACAGCTGTATAACCATCAACAAAAACTAATCTCCCATCTTTGTTTTCAAGCTTATACTCAACTATTTGCCTTCACTAAAACATTTCCTACAAAAGGGTATGCATGATTTGCCTTGATAACACAGCTTTTTAATGCTGTGCTTTCTCCAATTAAAGCAAAATTTTGTCACATTTTCACGTTGTATTTGTGATGTAAAGTCCATGCACTAAATGCAGTGATTTCAGGTAGCTTCTAATTGCATTAGCATCTTTGCTAAATGCAATCAGAACCACCAGAATAAAAGTTTGCTCCTATCACCAAGCAGAAATAAGGGTTCAGAAGACAATAGCACTGCCAGTAAAAGTCTCTTTGAAACTGATTACTAAACAAGATATAGCAGGCTTTTACTGTAACTCAAAGTTTACTTTACCATCACATTTTAAAGCTGTAAATTTCAATATATGCACTTATTTCCATCAACACATAATTGGATTTACTTCTAATTAACTTATGTTTGACAAAGCACTTAGCTTTAATATACAGATTTGGTCTGTAGTAGTAACAACTAAAAGTGGGCAAGAAATGAATCTTACTCTTACAAAATCTTAATGAAGAAAATAATACCCTTAACATTGACTTCCTTACTAGATACAGGACATCTCATGGTTTTTCATGAAATACATTATTATTTCACTAATCTGTAGACTACTAAAAAAGCAAGATGCCCTTATGGGTTCTGCACTTGAAGTCTTCATATTTATTTTAATTTTAAAAATGTGAAATTTATGCTTTATGTAGCTTCCATTATTAAAGGAGTTCTAACCCCACAGTTCACAGCCTAAATGATTGATTTTTTTGCTACTAGCTGATGGAAAAACAGCATTAGTAATTCTTTCACTTTTATAATCTCACCTTCTGAGCTGCTTTAGAGGGACTCTTGTTTTTGCTTCCTTTGGGTCTTCCTCTTGGTCTTTTAGGAGATGGCTCACCAGTTGGTTCCTAAATACAGGAAAACATGCTATTGTGGCAAGAGGCTATAACTAACCCAGATGATCTAAAGGATAAACTAAATCAAGTAGCTTGAAACATATGACTTAACAGTATGACTAAATAACATAATATTATTAATGCAATATGAAAAATTTAACAACTCCAGGTAAAGGAAAAAATATACTTTGCATAATAAAGGAGTTTAACTACTTTTGCAATTGCATTAAAAAAAAAACTTCGAAAAGTGTGCATATTTTAACATGTAAGTTATAGCAGGAAGCACATTTTTTAAGATGGCCATGATTTCCCTCATATAAGAGCAATCATTCAAAATATAATACAATTACCCAGTTAATTTCAATTTCATTTCATTATAGCAAGATACATTTATCACATGTATTTCTAGCACAAACTTTCTTGGGGGAAAAAAGTTAACTACCAGAATATTGTAAAGTAAGATGAGACTRTTTCTCTCTCAAGGGGGCATTTTTTTCTGTTGTTCTGCAGTCGGCATTATATTCACACCTATTCTAAAGATAATTGATGTGTATTAAAATGCAAATGTAAAAGTTTCTTCAAATAGAACACTACTAAGCCAAAAAAAAACTTGACCAAAGAAAAATCTGAAACAAAACCCCAACTCGAAAATGAGTCGACACGGATTATTTTAGCTATTTTCTTAACTAGTTCCTTTGCCTGACTGTAAATAACAAGTTCTTAAAACTGGGTATGAATTACTAAGGGTTCAGATTCCAAATATTTATCCAGTGAATCATAAACACTATAAAACTCTTCTAGTCTTGAATATTATACATTTCATTCAGATTACAGGATGTGGTAAAACTAATTAAATGCATTTTGTTAACTTAAACCAGTTTAAACCCCTTCAGATTTTATAATTCCCGGGTAGGTTAAGGGGAGGCGAGGGGACTCCCCAAGTGCTGCAGCTCAGTGGCGAGCCCCGCAGGCACTGCACATCTGGGCTGGGCACGTTGAAGGAGACGCGTTTTTCTTTCACTTCCATACATTCAAATACTATAGGAGAAAAAAAAAATTAGAGGGAAAAACAAAAAAAAAAAAGAAAAAGGAAAAAGGAAGCCCTGGCGAAAGCCCGCGGAGTCGGTAGGTGCCGGCTGCTTGGGCTGGGCGAGGGCAACCAGGGGGCGAAGCAGGAAGGGGGACAGAGCCCACAGCCACCGCACCGATAGAGTGAGCGTCACCGAAAGCAGAGCGAGAAAACTGGGGGCTTTGATTTTATGGGTTTCCAAAAAGTACTTCTGTGCAATTTACAGGACCATTTCGGGGCGGGGGAAGGGAAGGAAGCAAAGCAGCCGGGTTTCCCCCGGCTCGGGGCTCTGCTGCTCGGCTCTCTCCACGTTTCGAGCCCCTCGAAGGCTCTCGTGGCAGCGGGGCTGATGCCAAATGAATGGGAGTAAACACGTTTAAAGCCCGCGGAAGCTCGCTTTAAAAGGAGCTCCACGGACAGCCCAACTTCTCAATCGTGACTTCCGAGGGAGGCAGGGAAAAGGCTGCGGGCGGCTCCGCGCTGCCCCCGCCGAGCTGCGGGATTAATTGGTTGCATCCGCAGGCAAAATCCTCCTTCGGCGGCGCGGGCGGAGGGGCTGCAGAGCGTGGGGGCTCCCCCCGGGCCCCTCGCCCAGCGGCACGGGCTGAGCGCGGCTCCGCAGCTCCAGGCGATGCGACAATGGCACTTGGGAAAGGAAGGGAAGAGGGGTGGGGGTGGGAACAACGCGCGGATCTAGCAACCTTAGCGCGAATTCAGGTCTAGCAAGTAAAAAAGGGGAGCCAGCGCGTCCCTTTCGGGGCCCAGGTGGAGGCTGTGGGTGTGGGTGGAAAGGAGCACAGGGCTCCGCTCCCCGCGTACAGACACGGCAGCGTTCCCGTCGCCTAGACCTGCCTGGGAAAGCGCCGGAGCAAAGGCAAAAGGTGTTGCAAATGCAGGGCAAGCCCCCCTCAGGCTACCTCCCCCACCTCCATCGGCAACGGGGGCACCTCTCGCCACGATGACGGGGGTGAGGGGGGGAGGTGGGGAAGGGGGGAAAGCCTGGGGGGTGGGGGGGGAGGGAGAGGAAAAAGGCGAAAAAGATTATGCGACTTTCTAAACACCCAACTCTCCCCCAGCCCCAGCGTCTAGGGGCAGTTCAGGGGCTGGGCTGGTCAAGATCGGAGGCGGCAGCAGCGCCCGGTGGGACCCGACACATGAACACATACACGCGCGCACACAGATTGAGATATTGCGAGGGCTGCGAGAGGAGGAAGACAGGAGAGCCCCATTCCCTGCTCCTCGCTTTCGCAATTTCAAAATCAGCTCGAAATGACCCAGCGAGCGCTGGTTGGTCGGAGCCGCGCTGCTCCATGTTCCCCATTTACATTGAAAAGCCCCAGCTCGCTCCCAGCACAATAGTGAAAGTCCCGAGGAGGCTCCGCGGCTCAGCCACGGGCACGCAGCCCCCGTCGCTCGGGGATCCCCCCGGCGGGGCGCCCGCCGGAGCCCCTCTGCACCACCTCGCCGGGAAGCAGCGCATAACAAAGCGCCCCCCCCCCCCCCCCCCCCCCGTCGCCAGGATTCCTTCACTTGCAGCACAATACGTACATGTACAAGCCTATAACACTATAGATCTGCGGCTCTACGTATCTACACGATACTGACTTGTGGTTGTTTCCTGGGTCTGCCTCGTCCTCTCTTCTGAGGCTCTGCGGTTGCAGGTTGCTCCTGGGCAGCAGTGGAAGGCTGACCGGGTCCCTCACCTTGTGCACTCATCGTGACTTCTGCTGCTCAGCCTGTAACCAGTCTCTCCAAAGCACCTTGGAAGGGGGGGAATCAAAACGAGCTCTTGCTGCTTTTGCTGCTCGCTGCCACCACCACACCGGACGTCCTGGTGCTGCCAAAAAGGAGAAGAGAAGGGGAGGAGGAGGAGGAGGAGGTGATGGTGGTAGTGGTGCTGGTGGTGGTGGAAGAGGAGGGGGAATGAATCTCTCTTACAATTTAGGAATGGTTAGTAACATGAAGCAATTCAAAAGAGGAGAGGTTTAAGAAAAAAAAAAAAAAAGA